TGTGGAAGCAGGAGGTGAGAAGAAAAAAAAAAAAGCAACTCTGTCTCAGAGTCGGCCCCTTAAAGCCATGCAAAAGTTTCCAAACTAACTGCCTGAAGGAAAATCTAGACTGTATTTTGCCAAGAATGTTTCCCTCTAGTATTTTAATCCCAATAAATTCTACGTGTCTCAGAAAATGAATCCATTCTTTTCTAGCATCTTTAATTTGTTGATGTTCATGATTTTCTACATTTTAATTTTAATCAAAGTATGAAATAAAATATCAGTTCCCAAAAGATACACTGTGAGTGTTGTACTCGGTTTGAATCCAAATAGGTTGTTTTGAATATTTGAGGTTTTTCTTCCCTTTTAACAATCATGAATAAACTACTGTTCTTGCACAATGTGGATGATTAAATGATAAAATTTGGAAGTAAACTCCATAATGGTGTAAGAATGAAAACTCATGAGGGTTGTAGTGATGTTAGGCCATGGTATTTCATTGAAATGGTTGTTCTTAGCAATTGGTATGTCACTACTTTTGAGGCTGGTGTGTGGGCGGCCGGCTGACTGCTGAAGATTTAGCCAACAGTTGGAATATCTTAGGCTGGAAAATGTGTTGAAACAAATCTTCAAGTCAGCATTAGAAGCCGAAAACCTTGCAGAATGAACGCCTGTCGTATTCTCTTAGCTAGGAATGCATCACCCCACGCTACCTCCACCGCTCCTGCCACACAGCCATCTCCAGGAGGTGGAACTCTTTGTATTTCTAAATCCACCTTAAATACCACCGCCTCCTCAAAGTGCGCCCCCGAGTCCTCCTCCTCCACACTTGAAAAGTCAGCTCTCTACTTTAAATGCTCAGATTATTACCTGTGTCTTTCCTAAGGCAGATTTACTCTTCTTTAGTCTGGCCATCTGAATCCATGTCTTTCCTGCACTTGATTCTAAAAGCTCCCCGAGTTCAGGTTCATTATTGGATTCATCTCTGACTTCTTCATAGACCTTAGAGAGTGCTCTGCACAGGCCTGGAATAACAATGCAGACAGCTTACATTTATTGGGAGTTTATGATACGCCAATCAGTCTGAAAACTTCAAAACTCATATAAGACAGGTACTCTCATTATTTCTATTTTACAAGTATGAGACTTGAGACTTCAAGAGAATGAATAGCTGGTAAATATTCCGACACAGGACTGAAACCCAGGTGGTGTGACTTCAGGGCAGGTGCCCTCAAGAAAGGGGAGGAGGCACTAAGTCAGAAAATAGTGAATTTACCAAGTAATTGCCAGAATCAATACAGAGGTTAAGGTTATGTGTTCCAATCTTCTACCTTAAGAGCGTTCAATTAATCGGATTCCCACATTTCACGCTCTAGCCCTTTCCAAACAATTAAAGAACCAGAAGTGCACACTTTCCCTCCATTCACAGTTTTCTGATCAGTTTTATTTTAATCTGGAACAGCCAGGATTTAAATTCAGGAACACCAAAGCCCAAAGCTTGGTATTAGCAATACTACCCTGGATTCTCTACTCGCTGAAATGTTTACCTTCCACTGCTGCTGTGGCCATTAAAACTTCTTTCGACTGTGTCCCTTGGTTCCTCTGCTGACCAAGTCCTAGAGCTTCTTCCTTTCAAACCTGTTTATCTATATTCTTAGGCTTCTGATTTCTCTCCCAGACTATCGTTGTCAAGGTCAAACAAGTCACTCTTTTCATTTTTTCTGTCCAGGTCAAATTTTTAGGCCTTACAACATACTTGCTGCTCCTCTCTGTGCCCTCTTCAAGTTATGCACACATGATATTAATATTAAGTGACTGCTTTGAGTTAGTCAATTGTGGGTCTAATAACTGTCATGTGCGTTTTTCTGAAAACAATAATTGCAAGATTGCACAGGCTGATTCGGTAACTCTGCTGTCGTGTGCATGAATATAAAATAAACACAAGGGAGCAGATGAGACTGAGAGAAAGCAACTGCCAACTGGAACTTTAGAAAAGAATGATGTTCCGTAACCTCAAAAGCCATCGAGCGCAAGTGAACCGCATCTCTTTCTGGCAATATATTAAAGATACGTGAAATTCTGTGGCTTCCCTCCCCCACCTCCTATACTTTGGGGGTATGTGGAACTGATCTAGTGCATAATGGTGAGCAGCCTAGTAACCTTTATTGTGTGGTACTTAGAGTTAGAGTGTAGCTCAGACCTATTTTTGGCATTTTCTTCCTATCAAGATTCATAATGACATAGCAACAGTCATGCGGGATACACGTCTCTTCTATGTTCCAATATTTCTGTGCCTGCTCTATAGAAATGGCCAACATGATTTGTCGTATACACAGGGAATGCAGATTTTATGAGGTTATTATGTATACCTTCAGTATTGATCTTGTTTTCTATTTTTAAATTAGCCTCTGTCAAGATACACGGGAGTAAAGAATTTCAACATTTTCTTACACACACCATTAAAAAATGCCATTGCCTCCCATACTCGTAAGGGTTTTTCCAACAGAAAGAGTATGTAAAAGCAAGCACTAAAAAACCATCAAGTAATATAAGACTTCCTGTTATAATTTATTATTATCATAGTTATTATTATTACTTTTGTTATTAGGCAGGGAAATAGTCATCACTAGCACTGTATTATCACACTGTGGAATTAGAAAATTTAACTTGGTTATTTGGGTGATGAGTTTCTGTAAGGAGTCTAACCTAATTATACATTCAAGCCCATCTTTAATAGGTTCTTATTCTTGATCCATATATCATTTAAATACTCCCTGTATTTCTGCCTTTTGGTTTTGATTCTTTCCTGCTCTCTTTGTGTATCTCTCAGCTCCAATGCTGCCTCACTTTGGAACACTTCTTAAATTTTAATGTTTACAAATCACCTAGGGATCTCATTAAAGGCCCCATTCCTTGTGGCCTTGAGATTCTGAGCCTCTAATAAGTTCTCAGGTGACGCTAATGCTGCTGGTTCCATGGACAGCACTGAAGAGAGAACAACTTTATGTTTTAAAGTTCTCAATTAGACCCATGTAAGAAGACGTATTCTTGATTTTTCTCTCTTCCCAAATGCACAACTAATCATTCGTTTGTTCAACAAATATTTATTGAAGCCCACCTGTGTGCCAGGTAAATCACACTCTTCATTCTAATGCAGAGTAACTTACTTTTTCCACTTCTACTGCTACTACCACTCACGTTCAATACTACAATTATCTCTCTTCTGCACTTTTGCAATAGCTGCTAAGTACGTCTTTACATACTTTATTCCTTTGTCAGTTCATTTCCTTTAAATAGCGAAAAAAAAGTTTTAATACATTTCTCATGTTAGCATTCCAGTGTATCTAATACTTTAAAACCTTCCCAATGACTTTTAAATCCCAAAGTGCTAAGATAAAAAATCAGCAAGATCCTGGTTACCTTCATCTCCCATCACTTCCCTTCTGGCTTTTGATGTTCCAGAATTTTGGTAGTTTTTCACTTACTAAATTTGCTAAGCTTCTTTCCATCCCAAGTCCTTTGCACATGCTGTTCCTTTGCCTGGAATGCTTTTCCTCTCCTTCTCTATCTAATAACTATTCACCCTTCAGAACTTAAGAGTAATGTCACTTCATCAAAGAACCCTCATTTGATCTTCCAGCATGTCAGGATATCCTGTTACAAGTTCTTTTAATGCCACCTATTTCTTTGGGCAGAGGCACTTTTCATAGACATAATTACAGAATTAAACATGCAAATTAGTCTGCTTCCTTTGGTAACCCTTTGCATAGGGGCATGGGTCTTGTCTCTTTTTAATTTTTATTCATCTAGTTCTTAGCACAGTGTCTGGCAAATAGTTGATGTCAACAACTACTTAATAAATGAAATGATAAAAATAAATAGAAAGAACTTGGAACATTCTGGTCCATCTGGATCCCTCTGTTAAAGACAGAAGTAGTTTGCCAATTTTCAAAGAACCAGCCTATAACAAAATACACATCATTAAAATGTTATCCAGTTTCTTAGATGTATTCATTTGTTGTTTCAATGTCTTCCAGTGCTTCCATATCATTTATATGGTGTCCAATTTCCTCTGAAGTTCATGAGATGACTAATAGAAAACTTAAGTTACTTGCATATGAAAAAAAAAACCCAACTGTTTATGTATTTGAGAAGTGTTTAATATACTGCCACATACAACCTCCTACTGCTTCATAAATTGTTTCTGATGACACACAGTCTTTGTATATGGTGAATTATTATATGTGTTTAAGTATCCTTTGTCAAAAAGGAAGATGGATCTCGGAGCTACATCCCAGAAAACCTTTGTAATTACATTATTTGGCTATTTTTAAAAGCTATGGTCTCATCTTTTCTCTGATTGATAAGTTTAGTTTGTGAAAATATGTGTCACATCTCTTTCTTGAAGTTCTGCCACCACCTTGGGGCATCAGGGAACAGAAATAGAGGGGTTCCTGATAATGATCCTCGAGTCCTGCCTATCCCTAGATATTTAGGACCACAAACACATTGGTCAAGGAGATCTCTACATTCTCTTCAGAAAGTGTCATTCTAGAAATATTTTTGGTCTGGAGAGTCATCCTTAACTTTCTGAGGAAGGAAAAATAATTCTGGAAAATGTACCTATCCATCTTTTACATAGTAAGCAGGTCAATAATCAAATTGATAAACTGGAGTAATAATATAGTTTGTGGCTTGGTTAACATATCTTCTGAAGGCCTTTATTGCTGTCCGACCTGAGATGATCTCAAGCAATGACCTCAGCCCTCCCCAGGCTGACACACTCTGTATGTCCAAAGTGGTGAGTCAGCTTTATTTTAAGCCCTGAATGGAGTAGGGCTTATTCTTTTCAGGTCCATGGTGGGCTCCAGGCCAGCCGCAGCTGTCTGCTCAGTGGATTTCAGCCTGCTGCTCAATGCAGACTGACTCTGAGCCCTTGGCAGGGACAAATGTGATCCTTGTGCTTATAGGAAAATGCTTACATTGTCTATTCTCTTTTTGTCGCTGTTGTTTTACAGTCCACGTTCCATTTAATAGACATCAGGAAAAAGCTGTTCCATCCTCATTATCTGTGGAAACAGTCATTCTCACTGGTACACTGTATAACACAGCTTCATGGAAGGTCCTGGAACTCCTGAACCAACCCACAGGATGATGGTAGGTGTTCTGTAATTGAGGGGATATGACCACACATCACCCCAGGGTTAGCTCAACCGTATTCTGGCTCGAGCTCTTACTCACCTTCTCACATTTACATCTCTAATCTTACCTCATTCCCCAAGGTTTGATAATGTGGGTATAATAAGCATTCTTTTTACTGTCTTTCTTTCTTCTAACAAATTGTCTTCCAGATTTTGTCCTCTATTTTCATTAGTCATTTGAGTAAACACACTTAAGATGTTTATGCTTTAATCTGGTAGCTGAATTTCCCCATTTATAAACAGAGTAGATGGTTAAGGTAACCGGTCTATGAGTGTGTCAAGAGGCTTGGTTAGTTCTTATAGAGTTTCTGAAGACTTATTTTTGTGGCATTTTGGACATTCTCCTCTTACTTTCCTTGGCTTCCTAAGGTCACATTCTAAGTTCTATCCCTAAAAATCCTGGGGTATGCTTATACTACCTCATCTCATCTGCTTAGGTTGTGAGAGAAGATTAAGAGTTTAAAAATGATGCAAAGGAAATCAACCTCTCACTCTTATTCTCTTCTGTCCTTCACTGTCCCCATGTCCTCCTCTCATCTTTCCATTTTTTCACTATGAAATCTTCTCTTACTTATTTAACAACATTATGCTGAGGCTTCTCATGTTCAGGTTGTACTAGGCATTAGGGAGGTAATAATGAACTAGACAGAACTTCTCCCTGACCAGTTTACATTCCAGTGAGGAAAACCAACAGTACACACGTGACAAAAGCCATAATCAAGAGAGTGATGGCTTGCTGTTATAGATCCTAATGGAGACAGATCCCTTTCTAGCTGAAGGAAAAGCACTCTACCTAGTGTTCAGGAAAGCCTTCTCTGAAGAGTTGGATTTAAGCCAAGATCTGAAGAATGAGACCAACTTGAACATGCAGAGAACTTGGGAGAAGCATTTTGGGTAGAGGGAAAAGAAGGGAACTTTCCTGTGGTATTTTAGAGATTGACTGAAATCCAGCATAGCTGGAGGGTAACACAAAGTAGAGATGAGGGAGGCTGGGGCCAGATCACAGGAGAGCTCTGTAAGTCATAGCAAACTCTTGAGGAACAATGTTAGACCCATTGTGATGTCTCTTTGTGAGAGCTCCGGTGGTTGCCTGGTAAAACCAGGTGAGAATTTCAAGAAAATAATCTGCTTGGTAGATTAGGTATAAACATGTTCAGTCTGGACCTGGAATGAGGATCAGGAGAGAAACTCAAGAAAGTCCATTTTTAGGGCCATTGTCCACAAAGAAGTATCCAGAAGAACAAGGGTTCTCATTTTCAAGAGTACATCGTATAATGTACTATACACAGTGTTATACATTCCAGAACTTAGAATGTCTGCCCTCTGTAATTTCCAGGCTATACCTCCATTCACTAGGCTGACCACTTATCTCCACATGCTCGACCTATTTATTAGGCATCCTGGTTGGTCAGACCAAATTTCTCAGCCAATTTGGCTGAGCGCATCCTACTTGAATACAAAAACCACCACAGCAAACTCCTTTTAGCTTTTCATTCACATGAATGAAAATCCATCTATGTGGATGCCTACTGAGCTTATACTTTGTACAATATTCCACAACTGCTAGTATTTGAATTTTTAAAAATTCTTAATAATGCTTTCATCACCCTCCCAGGTTACAGGTTAAAATGTGATCATTTGATTCCTAGATATCCCGTTTTCTACTTGTTTCTTGTTGGAGGATTACCATCAAGCTGTAAACTCCTAATACTCTGGTAATAGTTGTAGAAATTTAAAATACAAATGCACTTTCTGCATTATTTTCCAACACAGCATTTTATTCAGCCCTACTTAAAATGAATAGTTTAATTGACTTCCTTAGGCTCTTTGAATAATAGGTTGAGCCAAAGGTGAAATAATATCTTATTATTTGCATTACTGTATTTCAGGGCATGGGGCTAACTCCGGTGGAGAACTAGGAAAAGTCACATTTAAAGGACCCAGATGGTAGAATACCATATGTTCTATATCTTTGTATGGGAAACGGCTCAAGCAAGTAAACTATTCCCAGACATTTATTACATAGCCCAGGTTTGGAATAATTATTATGCTTCTGGCAAGAGACAAAGGTGGAAAATGGAAATTTAAGTAGAGTTACCATTAAAGGAATTATTGCATTCTTTTCTGAACATAATCACCTGTAACTGGAAAAGTAATGGTTCCATATGTCATGTTCTTTATTGATTTCTGTTAGATATTTGCACTTACTTGACCCAAGTGTAGGTATAGGATGTTGCTAACCTAGATATTCTTAAGAACTTAATAAAATCAAGTGGCTATTGATAATAGAACAGTATGTTTAGACTACATAGTGCCATTTCAAAATAGAAGCTAATATTTAATATAATAGAAACTAACATTTTGAAAACTATAAATAGAATAATTTTGTTAAAATATCTAAAAGCATGTCCTCCCTCTAATATCTATACAATTCCTAAACAAATTGACATATATTTTGCCCACTCAGTACATATTATGGGGGCAATTTTGTTTAGTCACTTCTGAATGTATATGGCAAAACTCTTTTTCATGGCATTTCTTTTTTCCTTTTCTTTTCTTTTTTTGAGAGAGAGCATGAGTGATCGAGGGGCCAAGAGAGGAAGAGAGAGAGAGGGAGAGAGAGTGAGGAGCCCGATGTGGGGTTCCTGCTTACCTAAAGTGGGGACTCGTACTCATGAACTGTGAGATCATGACCTGAGCAGTAAGCTTAACTGACTGCACCACTCAGGCACCACTTTTCATGGCATTTCTTAAGACAGAGTCACTATTTTTGAGCTGGCATGTCAATATCCCACTGATGTTATTTTTTTATTTACAAAAACTTTTCTTCTCTTGCTGAGACTATCTAGTTTGTCTGAATAGATTTTTTATGGTCCAGATGAAGATTATACAGCACGATAGCCCTTTGATTAATGAAATTATTAGCTTTTTTTAAATTCAGAAATTAGTATATGAAACAAGACTGACTCCAGCTAACCCCTTATTTTAGCCAAATTTTACCAGCAAAATACATCTTGCATCTGATAAAAACACAGTGACCTAGAAGAGACAGCTACTCACAACTCCAAAGAAAAAATTGCCAACAAACAACTCTATGCATACATCAAGGCTCTTGTGGCATTGATATTGCAATGCATAATACGGGGAAAGAATTAAATATTTATTCCATATTTTCTGTATGAATTTTATCTTAACATATACAGATAGCTAGTGAAGGAAAGTTTTTATTTGAGAATAATACAAGGTAATTAACTTAAAAAAGGGATTTAGAAAATCACTAAATATATTCTTGAAAAAAATTATAACTCAGGCCAAAGTGTCAAGACTTATATCCAGCTAATCATTTTAAAACTATTCTATGTGACAGAATTTCAAACACATTAAGATCTCCTGTTTTTCAGGATGAAAGTTCAGAGCCAGACAAGTAGAGGGACTTGGCCCATGTCATGCAGGGATCCAGTGGCTTTCTTTCACACTAGAATCATAAGCTACATCTCTTAAATCCTGGTCTTTTAAGATAACAAACTGTTTGCTATTTTAGTGCTCCTTCTGTGACATTAGAAGAAGAATGTCCCTTTGGGTAACAAGACCAATGAATCATAAAATGGCTGTTGTCTTTATTTGAGTTTTCCTAGGAGAGGGAGCCTGAATATGAAACAAAGTGAGTCAAGACTCTGAGGCCTTCCTCCCAAGACTTTTTTCAAGGTGAGGTTACAGAAGTCCATGTTAGCAGTGTGTCCAGTGGTTAGAATCATGACTACCCAGTCAGTGTAAGCAAAACCTTTGGTTCTTTGTAATTAGGGGGATCTGCAGGACGGGGGAGTCTCTAACACATTCTTCCCAGGCTTTGCTGTAACGCTCCATGGCTTACTGCTCAGAAAGGAGGAAAAGTATGAGGAAAACAAACAGAGACAGACCTTCTTTGTGCATTGGCTCTCAGCCTGCCAAATCAGCTGGCTGGACGCAGAGGCAATTTCCTTAGCGTTTGCGGCCTTACGCTGACTTCTGCATGGGGAAGTTGGGCAATATTTATTGTTGAATGGGGCCTTGGGAGATTATTCTTGGAAGGAACAACTTCTGTGAACCTTTGTGTGTTGACTGAAAAATCTCTTCTAGCCAGGGTTTCACAAACTAGATATGATTCCCTCCTTCCAACCAAAAATGGCTGGGAAACAAAAATTCTTCAGGTTTAGAAATCCAGTCATATAGATGTGGTTTCTTCTTTCTCAAGGTGATTTACCTCTAGAGTCCTGAGTTAGGAAAGCATAGAAATAGGGAGATAAACTTTAAGATACCATAAGCTGCTCTCTAGAATTTTGTGAGCCATTAAGATGTACAAATATCTATTTTTTCATTGTTAATTTACAGAGCATTTTTTTGGAGCTTCCTTTACATGTAGATTCATGGGTCGGTTACTAGAAGAGACACAAAAATAAATGAAACATAGTCTTTGACATTAAGATGCTTACACAATTCACCATCTTCCAAAAGATAATAAAGTCAATCAGTCACAAGAGTAAATGAACCATCTGGTATAAATATTAGTCTGATTTAAAGATTCCATTAAGTGTCATAAAATAGTCATTCAAATACTGTTAGTCTCCTTAAGTTAGTGTCTGAGAATAAGGAGAAGGAGGTGCCAAGCACGTAATCTTAAATTATTAAGAAGGGCCAGGCCCTCAGGCTCAGTGCTATCTGTTATGTCGAGCTCTAGGACAGTGACCCTCATCCAGCTGTGTACCCAGTCCTCTTGTCATTTGCAGCTGAAATATGCAGCTGGTAAAATTCATGAGCTGGTCTTTCTCATTGAGGTCAGGGCTGAGAAGCCATCTCTGGCAAATGAGCCTCATATTGACTTGTGCTAATGTATAGACCTTGCAGGGTTTAACTCAGCTGACCTTGAGCCTTGCAGTCTGCTCAGTAACCTTTGGTACAAAGTCATGTGGTCAAACCACTATGACAAGCTCCCCATCCAGAATCTCATTTGCTCTGAAACCCAGGGTGACACCAGAATATTAACGTTTTAGAAACTTCTTCTACTTGACCTCCTAGCATTTCCAACTTACTGTGTCTACTGTCCATCTTGGTGGCTGGGAGATGTTCCAGAGGTGACATATTTCTAGGAGTCTTAATGTGGAGAGAGAAAAATACTCTCTTCAGTGTTCCCTCACCTCTCTGGTTGTTCTCTCCTTTTCACCACAGAGAGGACATCAGAAGATATCTATCTGACTAGCATCCATTTTTCTCTTCTCTTTCCCACAAGTTTCCTGGGCCTGAAAAGGGCTTGGCATTTCTTCTTTTTTCCAAGTTTATGAATTTATTTTTGAGAGAGCACGGGAAGAGAAGAGAGAGAGGGAAAGAAGAAGAAGACAAAGAAGAAGGAGGAAGGGGAGGAGGAGATGATGGAGGAAGAGATGCTGCAGGATGAGGAGGATGAGGAGGAGGAAGACAACAAGGAGAGAGAGAGAGAGAGAGAAGAGAGAGAATATCCCAAGCAGGCTCTGCTTGGGGCTCAAACTCACAAACCATGAGATAATGATCTGAGCCAAAACCAAGAGTTGGATGCTTAACCAATTGAGCCACGCTGGCGCTCCCCTGGGCATTTCTTCTATTTCCCCCTGATCTTACCTTTTCTTTACATTCGTTTGCTTCAGATGGAGCATGCCCTCCACAAAATAGTGAGTCCTTCAAGCATTCAAGCTTCAACCTAAAAGGGAAACAAAGGATCTATGGAACCTGAACATTCTATTCTCATAACAACAGTCTCAGAGGCCAGGTAGCATCTTATCCTTTCTCCTCATAATATCCAAATGAACTCTGAGGTTAATGGATGTTTTGGGTAAGTGAGGATGGAGCTCCTATATTCAGAAAGGCAAAAGGAAAACATATCGATAATGTAAGGCATTACCTTGTTTATGATTATTATACTTATTATTTGGACTTGTCTTATCCATTCCCCCATACAATCCCAAAGGACTGATGAGTTAATTCCCATGCGTGGAGCTCTCCAGAAATGAGTAAAACCTAATTTATTTTCGAGTATGTTCTCTATGAAATAGTGATATCCGAAGCTTTTAACTACTTGTGATGAGGAGAAGTCGTGTCAGAAACTTCTATAATGACGGAAGCCACTCTTAGGTACGTTCAGTGTAGCCCTTTATGTAAATTAGTTGCCTCAAGACAGAAAATACAGGCTGGCAAACCCTTCCTTTGGTGCCCATCAACCTGTGGCCAACCCTCTGAGGAGTAAAGGATGGTGCAGTACTGCTTTAGGGTTCATTAGCCTGGAGAAGAAAATAAAGAAGGAGAAACTAGAAGGGACCAAACCCCAGTTTAGGGAGCACATGTGAGATACTCTAACCAGGACTTCCAGTATTGTTCTGGAAGAATGTGAGAGGGTCTATGTCCTTAAACATCAGTGACAGGTTGGAGAACTTGGAGTGGGGGAAGAAAATTTCAAACATTATGGAGACTTCTTACCTTTTTCTCTTCTCTTTCCCTTCATTGAGGCCTGGGAAAAGTGATGGACACTTATTGGATCACAATGGAAATGACTATATCCACATTATTATTATTTAAAGTATTTTACTTTTTCAGTTTATATTGTTGGTTTAGCCTCATTCTTTAAGAATTTAAGTGTATTTGGTTTTATTATTCTTTTTTAAAAATTGTAACTATCAAATAATTCACAGGTCAAAGAGTTCTACAACTCATCTGGTCTCTGGATAACAGAGAGAGATACTGATAATGCCTCTTAGAATTATTATCATAATGATGCTAAAATAGAAGTCTTGCTGTTTCCTCTGCCTAGAAACCCCTTTCGTTCTATTCATTATACATTTAACTTCTACCTAGTCTACTTCTCCACTTCTCAAACCCAACACTTTTATATTTAAATCAGGTCCCTATTATGTTTCCTCACTGCATTCTCTTTTTCTCTTACTTAG